ACTGAGCAGGCTGCCTGATCAAGCATAAGAAATATTAGCGAAGTTAAAAATAGGGAGCGAGGGGCAAAATGCACATTACGCTCAAAATCGGAACTTCAAATAATGGAAAGCACCACTGAACGGATTTTTATACCCCTCAAGTGGAGGAGGTAACGCCATGCGAACTAAGAACTTCGGAATTTTAAAGTAGAATTAGGAGGACTGGATTGGACTTCAAATCATTAACTAAGCTTTCTAAATCTTTGGTTTGTAAAATCAAGAAAAATCCATTCGCCTATGGAAGAAGCCTTGGATGATTTTTGCTGACCCAATCAAAATTGTTTGTTATAAGTCCAGCTATGAATGAACTTTAATTAAATTTCCTTTTGCATAAGATTCATGTTCCTTGATACGAAACTTTCGCTCTTTTTGTTTGGTTAATCTAAAACCCATGACTGATATACTATAAAATTCCCCAAGAATTCAAGACAAACGCAATCTTTAGAATCGAAGGGTGAATTTTATAATAGGGCAGAAACCGACTTTGAATTTTCTGGAGAATCCGTGCAAATTTATAGCTAACAGAAGGATAAAATGGAAGCACGACAAGGTCATTGATATTTTTCTAACAGTGGAATGTCTTCTTTGATGGGAATCTGAAAAACGGCTTTATCATAATCAGGGAGAAAATCCACGGTCAATCGCAAACTGCTCTTTGTTCCTCTGAATCTTTGCTTACCAATGAACTTAATTATTTGAGAGCAGTTGCGATTGACTGTGGATTTTCTCCTGTGATTATTGATAAAGCCGTCAAAAAAATTTTCAGATTCCCATCAAAGAAGACATTCCACTGTTAGAAATAATATCAATGACCTTGTCGTGCTTCCATTTTATCCTTCTGTTAGCTATTAAAATTGCACGGATTCTCCAGAAATTCAATTTTTAAGTCAGTTTCTCCCTATTAATAAAATTCACCCTTCGATTCTAAAAGATTGCGTTTCTGTCTTGAATTCTTGGGGAATTTATAGTATATCATGTCAGTGTGGTTTAAGATATATGGCCAAACAAAAAGAGCGTTGAAGTTTCGTATCAAGGAACATGAATCTTATGTCAAAAAAGGGGGGAAATTAACAAGTTTAATAGCGTATCATAGCTGGACTTTTAACCATAATTTGATTTTGGTCTGCAAAAATCATCCAAAAGGCTTCTTCCATAGGCGAATTGGATTTTTCTGAGGGCTTTTCACATTCACAAAGATTTAGAAAGTTTAGTTAATGATTTGAAGTCCAATCCAGTCCTTCCTAATGCCTTTAAAATTCTACTGTCTTAATTCAATTATTTTTACCGATAGATGGCGTTACCTCCTTGCACTTGGTACTACCAGAGGGTATAAAAATCCGTTCAGTGGTTGCTTTCCATTATTTGAAGTTCAGATTTTGAGCGTAATGTGCATTTGCCCCTCGCTCCCTATTTTAACTTCGCTAATATTCTTTATGCTTGATCAGACAGCCTGGCTCAGTAAAAGTAGGCGGCCAGTGCAACTCTGATTAAAAATCTAGTTATATCCACGTGCAGTGCTGATAAGCACCACGTGTTTCTGTGATTCCTATTTTCTTCTTTCTATGTATTTCTTTCTCCTGATGAGGAGGGACCTTTAGCTGCCCTCGAAATCGATTGAGTGTTTCATTATACCTACGCTAAATATAAGGTTGTTTTTTACGATTTTGATTGTCACATTAGCGTGTTTCTCTTCTAGTCTAGTTTGTGCTATCAACCGGCATTTTCGAGAATATTTTACTGTTTATTGTTTTACCACGTGCACTATTTTTATTTACTTCTTTCCACGTGGGCATCGTTTTTTCGGATTTGGTTTATGCTATCAACCGGCATTTTCGAGGTAATTCTATATTTTTTCGGTTTACCACGTGCACGATTTTGACTTTCGTTGCTTCTTTCCACGTGGCTATTGGTTTTCAGTATTGGATGTTTCTCTCCTTTTCGAATGTTTTTGTCATTTGTTGATGAAAATTGTCTTCATTATTTATTGATGTTTTTTTCATGTTATAAGTAATTACTTGTTTGGTCTTTCGGAATTACATTCTTTTGTTCACTTGTTTCTTGCTTGTGCCCTTTTCACCATATGTCCACTGACAGGAACCGATTTTGTAAGTTACGCCTTAAGCGTACGAAATTCTTGAATCATCTACAGTTTCTACTTAAATGCAAACATCAAAATTTCATTCCCAAATTTATACATGTGAAATGTAGCTTTAAAGCTTCCGTTCACGTTTCAAAAATTTTGCATAAATTGGCACTTCTTCGTCACATTATAAGGGACACACGCAAACGTTTATCTAAAATTGAATTTGAATTATATTACCTCCATTTAAAAATTGCTAATTCCACTGAAAATTTTTCCTCATTTGAACATACATCCTGGTCTAGAACCGATACCATTTGTCAACGGCATATAAAAATGTGCTCATTTCTAAATTCCAAAAACTCACACACCAGTCGGATAGTCCCAATTATCTAGCTGATCTTCCCACTGTAAACGTTAACTCCATCATTAATATCTCCAATAGGAATCTTTCGGAGGATCAGTTAAAAGTATTAAAATATAATTTCAACTTTTCAAAGACATCTAAACCTTCAATTCCTCAAATCATCGCCCCTATAGAGAAAGCCTTTAAATTCTCCAAAATTTCGGAAACGCAGAAGGATACAATCCGCCACCTAATTACTCATAACGTTAATTTTAACAATAAATCTTTGGGTTCTAATCTAAACAAAAAGGAAAATGAGATCTTACGTGAAATTCATTCTGATACTAATATCATTATCTCTAAAGCTGATAAGGGCGGACAGATCGTTGTTATGGACAAACACACATATATTACTGGAGTCTCTAAATTGATAAATGAAGGCCCATACTGCTCGATCCCTAAAGATCCTTCAACTTTGGACCTCATGAAAGTAAAAAGTGCTATTAAATCTGCCCACATTCTGCCAACTCAGTTGAAGAAATCACTTATTCCGCCTATTACTGATTGCACTAGACTTTATGCTCTTCCAAAAGTCCACAAAACCGGTATTCCTTTTCAACCAATTGTTTCCAACATAGGTACTGCTTCATATCCTTTGGCCAAAATATTTAGTTTCCAGATTTTCTCCTCTACTTGATAACAATCATTCACATTGTAAAAAATTCTGTTGAAGTCATTGAAGTCATTGATAAACTTAAAATATTTCCCCACTTCGTTCCATTATGGTTTCATTTGATGTCAAATCATTGCTTACTAATGTTCCGGTCGAAGGAAGCAACTAAATTGTCTTGAAACTAGGCTTCGGGAATTTCACTTCACACATACTGAAATTAATGAGTTGGTTTCGCTTACTAAAGTTTCTCTAAGTCAAACCCACTTGTTTTCCAAAATGCATATTTTCGTCAAGTTGAAGGATTGGCTATGGGTAATCCTCTCAGTCCGGTACTTGCTGACATTTATATGCACTATTTTGAGATGAAATTATTTGATAAATTATCTTTTCGTCTTTGGTGGATTCGGTATGTTGACGACACTTTCGCACTTTTTGACGGTTATAAAGAGGATTTATCCGAGAGATTCTATCTATTATGAATTCAATTGATCCAGCCATCCAATTCACTCTTGAAATTGAATCCAACAATTCCCTCCCCTTCCTCGATATTCTTATAATCCGCAATGAAACCGATTTTAGCACCACTGTGTACCGTAAACCTTTGCAGTTTGTTTACCACCCCATGCCAAGTCATGCCACCTGTTAAGCAAAAAAATGGCTTCTTTTTACTATTATGTTTTCCGCGTGCTAAAAGTTTGTTCCTCTGAATCTTTGCTTACCAATGAACTTAATTATTTGAGAGCAGTTGCGATTGACCGTGGATTTTCTCCCGTGATTATTGATAAAGCCGTCAAAAAATTTTCAGATTCCCATCAAAGAAGACATTCCCACTGTTAGAAATAATATCAATGACCTTGTCGTGCTTCCATTTTATCCTTCTGTTAGCTATAAAATTGCACGGATTCTCCAGAAATTCAATTTTCAAGTCGGTTTCTCCCTATTAATAAAATTCACCCTTCGATTCTAAAAGATTGCGTTTCTGTCTTGAATTCTTGGGGAATTTATAGTATATCATGTCAGTGTGGTTTAAGATATATTGGCCAAACAAAAGAGCGTTGAAGTTTCGTATCAAGGAACATGAATCTTATGTCAAAAAAGGGAAAATTAACAAGTCTTCAATAGCGTATCATAGCTGGACTTTTAACCATAATTTTGATTTTGGGTCTGCAAAAATCATCCAAAAGGCTTCTTCCATAGGCGAATTGGATTTTCTTGAGGCTTTTTCACATTCACAAAGATTTAGAAAGTTTAGTTAATGATTTGAAGTCCAATCCAGTCCTTCCTAATGCCTTTAAAATTCTACTGTCTTAATCATTATTTTTGCCGATAGATGGCGTTACCTCCTCGCACTTGGTACTACCAGAGGGTATAAAAATCCGTTCAGTGGTTGCTTTCCATTATTTGAAGTTCAGATTTTGAGCGTAATGTGCATTTGCCCCTCGCTCCCTATTTTAACTTCGCTAATATTTCTTTATGCTTGATCAGACAGCCTGGCTCAGTAAAAGTAGGCGGCCAGTGCAACTCTGATTAAAAATCTAGTTATATCCACGTGCAGTGCTGATCAGCACCACGTGTTTCTGTGATTCCTATTTTCTTCTTTCTATGTATTTCTTTCTCCTGATGAGGAGGGACCTTTAGCTGCCCTCGAAATCGATTGAGTGTTTCATTATACCTACGCTAAATATAAGGTTGTTTTTTACGATTTTGATTGTCACATTAGCGTGTTTCTCTTCTAGTCTAAATATACAACTATCAGAGGCTAATTGTACTAGTCCAAGTTTTTCTGATTCAGTTTTTATTTTCATATACCAATTTCTACCCAATTGAGGCAACCCATAAATACTTTTCATTAATTTACATACTTTTCCTTCTCCAGTCGGTTGCTCATAACCAGTTGGAGGAGTCATATATACATCCTCGTTTAAGTCGCTGTACAAGTATGCTGTTTCTACATCATAAAATGTAACAGTCAAATTCAATTGAGCTGAAAGTGCAAGCAATTATCTAAAACACTCAATGTTAACAACTGGTGAATATTATTTGATATCATCCTTATTTTTTATTTGATTAAACCCAGCTGCTACTTATCGCACTTTATATTTTACTTCCCTGGAGTCTCCTTCCTTCAAAAGTATACACCCATTTACTTTTTACTAATTTTTTTTTTCAGTCCTCTCTACTATTTCCCACACCGTGTTTATGTAATGAATTTAATTCCTTTTCCATTGCGGATTTCCAGTCATACCAATTAGCACTACATTTTGCCTCTGAAAAATCATTCAGAACATTACTAATGTGGAGATCATCGACGACCGATGCTGAATTATAATACCAGCATGATGACGTCATCGCAGCACAGCGCAGTGCGGAGCATTCCAGACAGCGTCAGATAGCGTCCAGACTTGATCGAAAGTGGAGAGTAGGAGATGTGAGCAGACGACTCGCTTCTCTTCAAGAGTTAAAGATGACAAATTCTCTCTCAAGCACCTGTTATACACATATTTAAGCAAGGATATCGATTAGAACTTCATACTGATGCTAGTAGTCAAGGCTTTGGTGCGGTATTACTCCAATTGTCTGATGATAGTAATTATCACCCAATCCAGTACATGAGTAAGAAGACTTCACCCGCAGCAAGAGAAACTCTGTAGTTACGAATTAGAAGCCTTGCAGTAATAGAAGCTCTAAAGAAGTTTAGAAACTATTTGTTAGGAACTAAATTCAAAATTGTAACTGATTGTAGTGCTTTTCAGAAAACTTTAGATAAGAAAGATTTAACTCCTAAAATTGCGAGATGGGCAATGTTTATTGAAGAATTCGATTACAAAATTGTACATCGGAAGCCAAATGGAACATGCTGATGCTCTAAGTAGAAATGCTCTAATTTTAACATCATACAAATCCGACGTAACTGAGAAGATTCGGTTAGCACAACAACAGAATGAAGATGAACATGTGAAATTAATAAAGAATTTGGTTGAGAAAGGAGAAGAAAATGGATTCTTCCTGAGAAATGATATTTTGTACAAATTTGAAAATGGTAAAGATCTGCTAGTAGTGCCAGAATCCTTACAGAACGAAATCATACAGAAGGTGCATATAAAAGGTCACTTTGCTGTAGATAAAACCGTGAATGCTGTAGAGCAAGAATTCTATATTCCCAGACTGAAATGCAAAGTTGAAAAGGTAATTGCTAACTGTATAGAATGTATACTGTACAACAAGAAGCAAGGAAAAGCGGAAGGATTTCTTCATCCTGTACCGAAAGAAAATGTTCCCTTGAGTACGTACCATGTCGACTTCATTAGACCTCTTCCATCAACGAACAAGAGATACCAACACATTCTGACTGTGGTCGATGCTTTTATGAAATTTACTTGGTTCTATCCAGTGAAATCACCAACTACACAAGAAGTTATTTCAAAATTGAGGCAACAACATACTGTATTTGGAAATCCAGCCAGAATCATTTCAGATCGAGGGTAGTGCCTTTACATTGAAAGAATTTTCAGCTTATTGTACGAAGAAGGCATAGAACATGTGAAAATTACTACCGGTATTTCAAGACATAACGGACAGATTGAGCGAATCCATAGAATTTTGATTCCTGTTTTGTCAAAATTATCACATGAGGATTCAATGAAATGGTTTAAGTTTGTTCCAGATGTCCAGAGAATAATCAACAGTACAACTACGAGAAGTACAAAATATTCACCATTTGAGCTTCTCATAGGCACGAAAATGAAGAACAAAGAAGATCTGAGAATTAGTGAGATATTGAATGAAGAATATCTAAAGCAGTTGATGCAAGAACGTGATGAAATGAGAGAAGATGCAAAAAACAACATTTTGAAGATACAAGAAGAGAATCGTAAGCAATTAACAAAAGACGTAAGAAACCCAAAATATACAAGATTGGAGACTTGGTAGCCATTCAGAGAACTCAGTATGGGACTGGTTTGAAACTACAACCTAAGTTTCATGGACCATATAAAATCATAGCTGTTAGATCAAATGACAGATATGAAGTCGAAAAAGTAGGATGCCATGAAGGACCGAATTTGACATCTACTGCGGCTGACCATATGAAGCCATGGTCAAATTGATTGATGTTTGTATCAGCTCAAAACCTAAGGACCTGATACTCTCTTTTTTTTTTTTTTTTTTTTTTTAATTCTCTTTGCAGGTAGATGATGGTGACGCCCACTCAACAGACATCGAGGACGATGCCTCTTCAGGCTGACCGAAGCTGTGGAGATCATCGACGACCGATGCTGAATTAGAATACCAGCATGATGATGTCATTGCAGCACAGCGCAGTGTGGAGCATTCCAGACAGCGTCAGATAGCATCCAGACGGGGTCGTGAGTGGAGAGTAGGAGATGTGAGCAGACGGCTCGCTTCTCTTCAAGAGTTAAAGAAGACAGACGGTCTTCCTTGGTCTTTAAGTGACTTTAGCTGATTATACTATTTAAAGCTAGCTGTGGACTAACGTATTCTATCAACTCCGGAGGAACTAATATTGTCTGTGATTGTTCATCATTATATGAATCCTGTGAACCGATAATTCATTCCTGCAACATTAATTTTTACTTAACCTTTATTACTTTTATCTATTTCTTATTATTAAAATAAAAGCTTTTAACAATGCAATACTCGTGCCCTGTTTTGAAATTAAAACCTACACTAATTATAACATTACTAATACGACAATTGTTTTGATTTAACCCTTTCGGTTTGTCTTAATGGTATTTCATTTCCATTTTTATTATTTTTTTCATAGCTATCAGATGTTTGGATTTCATACCCCCTGTCATTGGCCCCGCTACAACAGCTCATGTTGGTGATTTCGAAATTCGATGAGTCAGCATATTCACTTGCTTGTATTTTCCGTAACAACCAATTCGAAGTGCGGTTTTTCACTTTTTGTTTTTTGATCTACTTTTAATTCTTTGACTTTTTCCTTCCATGAAATCACTTTTAATTCTTCAATATCCCAAGTTTCTATGGTTTTATTTTTTCCCATATAATTACTACCTTTTAAAGATTCATTCAATTTAACTGATCGTTCTTCAATTATTTTATTACTTGCTATATCATAAATACGATATAATTTTCTTTCTCTGGCATATCCTAACATTATCCTTCTTTTTCCTGGTATATCACATTTGTTTCGCATTATTTTTGGAATGTGAAAGTATGCCACACATCCAAATTTTTTCAGATAGTTCAATTTGGATTTTTTACCAGTCCAAATTTTGATAGGAATTTTTTCTTTTCCTTTCCAGGGTGTTAAATTTGATATTTGAGTACTAAAATTAATTGCTTCTGCCCAGAATTTTACCGGATGCTCACTTTCATGTAGTAATGTCCTAGCGCTTTCCAAAAGAACTGTCAGCTTTTCCATTACTTTAACTGTTATATGGAATTCTTTGTTCATGAAAAATACCAGAATTAGCAAGATAATTATCTAATCGTTCATTTACAAATTCTAAACCATTGTCTGTTCTCAAACATTTAATTCTTTTACCAGTTAAATTTTCATACTTAGCTTTAAATTTAGAAATTGCATCAAATACTTCATTTTTATTTTTAAGAAAATAAGTAAAATACATTCTAGAAAAATCTTCCACTAAGACCATAAAATATTTACGCCCACTAACTGATTCAGTTTGAACAGGACCACACAGATCTGAATGAATTAATTCTGAGTTCTGACTAATGCCAATATTTGGATGACTTTTTTCTAGTTTTTACTTATGTCGCACTTAAATCATTTACATCATTAATATCAATATATTCTTTTATTTTATTTTAAGCATATTTTGGACTTAAATGGCGCAATCTACTATGCCAAAGTTCATAATTACTACCAGAACAATCATTAGTAATGCAACATTCAGAATTATAATATGGTTCTAAATTAACTTCAAGCCTACTGCTATTCTCAATGCTTTAAAAAGTACTGTAATTTCCGGAAGAAATGCTGCGGCATTTACGTGTTTAAAACTTAAATTTTCAGCGGGTGCGGCGTTTAGGTGCACTAAAAATAAAATATTTCCTATGATGGTCATTGTACATAGTTTGGATGGCCTTGTCATTGTACACAGCCTGGTGCTGTTTCCACACAAAAGATCACTCAGTTGCTTTTTGCGAACGTTATTTTGTTTACATTCTTTCCCTTGAACGGACCTACATGCCTTATTCACCCTAAACGGTATCTCAGAACAATAACATTTTCCCCCCTTTCAAATCAGCATGCTCATCATTTTGAATAGTCTCTCTCCTCTACCATTTGATGAATCTTCCAGGACCCATCCTCTCCCCCCCCCCCCCCGCCTTTTCTGCAATTTTTTTTTTCAAAGGCAGACACGACTCCACCTGCCTCGCAATAATGAACTCCGACGTATTTCCCCTTCAGCATGAATCGATTTTTCTTGGCATTCTGCCAGATACAGATCCCATCAGTTTGAGTACAAGTACTTGTTGGATAGTTTTTAAGTAAGAAAGGAGTGGAAAATTATTGAAAATGGCACCTAAACGGCACAGAAGCTATACTGTTGGTTTTAAGCTTAATGTAATTTCATGTGCTGAAAAAATTGGAAATAGAGCATCAGCTCAAGAGTTTGATGTGGACGAGAGATGTATTCGATGTTGGAGAACTGAAAAAGAACTTCTTAAAAATATGCCACAACAGAAACGAGCTAAAAGAAATGGTACTGTAAGGTGGCCAAATCTAGAGGACGACCTTACAAACTGGATAAAGGAGCAACGAGGAAAGGCAATGGCAATTTCAACTGTAAAAATTTGCTTACAAGCAAAATTTATAGCAAAACAAATGAACATAAATGATTCCAAAAGAGGGCCTTGCTGGTGTAGCAGATTTACAAAAAGAAAAAATATCTCTGTGTATACTAGAACAACAGTCGGACAACAATTACAAATGGACTGGCAGGATAAAAAGGCATCTTTTCTAAAATATGT